CCACCAACGTAACCAGATCTTGTACAGTCAGCGAGTGCGACAAAATGGCCTATTGGACAGTTCCGAACCTGAGCCTTCCAAGTTCGAAGGTTGTTGGTTTGCGCCTTGGAAAAGTGTTGGAGCTAGGTGTCTGGTCGCCGAATCTCTCAGTACTCCTTGTCAGTTTTGTATGTATGTGCATGGATTTTGGTGGACTTAGCCTTTCGCATTCAAATCAGCTTCAGGCTTTTGACTTGGAGGGATTTTAATGCGAAAGTTACCAGGCATAACCACGGGGAGGTGCCACCGTCTATGCCCGAGTGTTTTTACACGGAGTTTGCTCTCCGGCATTGTTCTTGGAGTATGCTCTCCCTTACAAGTACGCGGCATGGTCGACTGAGGCACCAGTCACGTCGTTCCATCTCTGTCATTAAACTCATGGTCTCATATGTCGTCGAAAACAACGAAAAAACATTCGACATTGCGAATGCTCCGTGATCTCAGGTCCTTCTCGAGACATTTGCTCGAGGGAAATGTTTCTTGCGTATGACGGGTTGACGTATTCTCTTCTCCTCCTTCATTCTCGTCTCGTCCTCCTTTTGTCTCCTAGCAGCCGCCCGGTATTCCTTCTGCAACTGCCTCTGATAATTACTACTTGGACAACGACAAAAATCAGACGAGGTACGATCGGTGTCTCTAAAGTCGACCATCTCTGAACTGATATAAACGCACTGAGCTGAATACGACACTGGTTTGTGCTTTGAAAGAATCCTGAGATAATGATTTGCGATGTTTCCACTGCAACGACATTGATAACAAGAGGGTTTGCTTGTATATTGCGAGCGCTTTTGTACTCTGCAGATAATGCAGCTCATAGACTACGTGGCAAACAGCCTCCCTCCGCTAGGGCCGATGTTCGCATAACTGCCCGGGCGCGCGCACCCATCTTCAGTTCAGGGCAAGGATAAGTATAACTACTTACGTGCAGGTTACGTGCTCTCTCTCTCTTTCCCTCTCTCTCTCTCCCATCCCCGTCTCCCTCGCCCTCTGCCACGTGTACTCCTGTCGCACACGCCATAGCTATTATAATGGTTGCTCGCGTTGACATCACCAAGCCAGCTTGGCTAGTCTTCGCATAAGCCAAATTAACAAAAGAAATGAGGAAGGAGCGAGCTGGTAAGAGTGCAGTGACATCAGAGTAGAACCATTATTTTCGATTACGTGTTCAAGTCACGTACAAGTACACGTGTAATGTAGACACAGAAAGTGGGGCAAGGACGTGGTGAGCAGCTGTGTGTGGATGTTGTAGGCAGAAGGCTATACAGTTAGCAGTGTGATATTAGCGCAGTGTACATATATTATTGTGTAATATAAAAGGGAACCAGCTAGCCAGAACACCATCATTCTACGACGGGCCCTGGCAAAGTCAGTAGCTGGTGGCAGAGAGTTCGGGTTAGAGTCACTCGTACTCCCGCGTACTATTACTAGTAGTACTACATAGTTCTACAGTAGCTTTGTGTATAGATAATTTAAATGACTTCAACCACTAGCCAGTTTACAATTGTAAGACAGGTTAGTTTTGGAGATGTTTCGTTTCTTCTCAACATGTAAACATTTGTAGTGCATGGTGCGCATTGGCTCGATAGAATCTATATGTACGTGTACATAACCATTGTTGACGCGCATCATGTATCACAAGAAAACGGATGCAGTCAGCTCTACAAGGATTCTTACTTAGTAAGATACCTGGTAGAGTTGACTCCATCCGCTTTGTTCAGGAATCATGTTCTGGTCCAGGAGTTCCTTTGTTTTTGCCGTCACCGCAACTCAAGGACGATAAAACATTCCAGCTAAGTCGGTGTCGTATAACGGATGGAGTCAGCTTTCGTCAAGGTTACTAGCTGGCGGACGAATGGATTTACTGGACCGAGGAGGAGAGATACGGACTAGGGGAGAGACGCCGACATAGTATGCAGCACATACATATTGCGAAAGGTAAGAAGTTGTAGAACAGCAGTACGGTCGGACAGTGTCGCGCAATGTTATGGCATGAGCTGATTGGTTTAAAGTAACTGATTGTGGTAGTGTATTAAAGTAACTGATTGTGGTAGTAAATATTATAGCGTACCATAATGTCCACTTTACTATTCCTGTGCTGTACATTAATCCTTGGCTCTCCATCAGAGAGACTGGTAGCGCCAGATACTGGAAGGAATCTAGCGCGTCCAAGGTGCTAGGGGAGTCAGTGGTTAACATGTTGATCGGTTGAGAGCCTTTTACAAGGCGGAGGACGCACTGTGTTGAAAACAGTGCTTCTTACTACAACTAGAGCCATCATCGGTGTGTAATAACTATAACATACTGTGAACCGATCGACATGTTATTAATCAACCAACCAAGGTTTAGAATTACCTGTACTTGAGAATCAGTGGAAAACAGACCTGTACAGGTGTTATGATTTATGACCAGGGAGTTATGTAAACGCACTAACCTGAATACGACACTGGTTTGTGTTTTGAAAGAATCCTGAGATAATGATTTGCGATGTGTACGCTGCAACGACACTGATAACGAGCGCGTTTGCTTATATTTTGCGAGCGCTTTTTGAAATCTGCAGATTCAGCAGCTCATAGATTACATGGTCACAGCCGCTCTCCGCTTGGGCCAATGTTCGTAAAACTGCCCGGGCACGAGCGCTGTCAAGACATGTTTAGCTACGTAGTACACGTACATGCATAGATCACGTGATCACGTACATGCTAAGAACACGTGGTCACGTACTGTTCATGTAGACCTAGACCGCGTACCGGCGCAAGTGCCATCTTGGACTTCAGTTCAGGGCAATGATTACTATCTTTATTCTCACCATGGCCGTGGCCAATAAGAGAGAGACAGTACTATGTGTTATCAATCAGAGTGGGTGCAATAACACGGGAGAAACAGTGATGAATACTCAAAGTGCAGCTGTGCGTGGGCCTCTGCACGATTCCACAGCGCATTGACATAGGCTATAGCTTTCGCTACGCGTCCATTATCGAGAGAGTACAAGCACTACGCGTGGGCCTGCACGATTCCACAGCGCGTGGGTCGTGGCTATAGCTTTCGCTACGCGTCCATTATCGAGAGAGTACAAGCACTACGCGTGGGCCTGCACGATTCCACAGCGCGTGGGTCGTGGTTATAGCTTTCGCTACGCGTCCATTATCGAGAGAGTACAAGCACTAGCTTGCTTCAGGATCAGAGCTACATAATTATACAATAACGTATTGTACATGTCCATGTACGTACAATAGTAATGAACATGGACATGTAGGTCACGTGGTCACATGCAGTGTCCATGCCAATGATAGGTATATGCATGTACATGTATGTTCCGCTGTGTGTAACCATGGACACCATTCGCGAGCACTTACGCGTGGGTGGTTCTGTGCTACGCCTCCAAAACCAGGTAAGTATCGAGTACAGCCTCATGGACGGGCAAAATAAACACAATGAATATTTTCCCAAGTGTTCAAAAAACTTCAACTCAAAGTTCTAGAAAGAAAGAAAAAACACTCAAAAAACAAAAACACAACAGCATAATACTGTAGTATCCCTGCCCGACCAATACGGAAGTAGTATGGAACTAATACGGAGCTTTGCCTGATGTATATTTAGTGTATCTCCGTATGGAAGCTATTGGTCGGGCAGGGATACTACAATACCCCCGGTAATGTATATACAGGTACCTACTTAGGTAAACAGCAGCAAGAAAATAAGTAAGTAAGTATCGAGTTCTTGCTTTGCGTTACGTTATGTCCGCGCTGGCGGGTAATTTCTGTGGCGTGGTTTCCAGAATTAATAATTTTTAAATAGCCGTGGTTGGATATAAAAACCCTGCCATCGCTACGCAACGCGGTCATTGGCTACCCCAGCCATGTTTTGCTAGGAATGAAACCAAAATAAACAATGATCTGGTTCTTCGAGCACACGTGTCGTGTGGCTACTGGGCCTGATCAGCTAAGAACTGAACTACGTTATGGCTGCCCATTGCCAAAATTAATCATAAAAGCTGTGCCTACGTGTTGAACCATGCAAAGTGGGTTGGAGCGAAACGTGCGTCCTTCTCGTGGACTTCAATACACTGAAGTAATAGGGTGCAAGCGCCTGGCTAGGGAGTATGGTGCTGCTAGGAGGTTGGCATTGTAAGTTTTGCATGCTCGTACATACAATGTAGTATCTGCAGGCATCACTCGTAGCGTGGATCAAACTAGGGTCACTGGTAGGTATCACCACTGTGCTCCACAGCTTGGTGCTCACTGTGGGATAGTTATTGAAGGTCTTCCGTCATTCGGCTTTTGTTTGTTGTTATCGCCTCTCACCGGGGATGCTCTCTTCATCAAGGCAGCGATAAAGTTTGCGAACATCGCGAATCCGTGCAACCTCACGCATGTAGTTGTAGCAAGCGTGAGGTGACTGACAGCCATCCATCTCACCCTTCCATTTAAACCAGCCGCGTGTGCTGTATATCGTCACTACTCGTTTCCTTTCGGATGGCGAAAGGTAGTTGGCATCTATTCTCTTCTTGCGTTACAGGACACGTAGTTCAAGCTGTAGCGATGCATCTTTCTAAAATGGCCACATCTGAGAACAGGTCTAGCTTGGAGAACCCATACCGCTGCGATTTATGCAGCGAGGCTTTCGCCAGGACTTATGAGCGGACCCGACACCAAAGGATTCACCCTCGACAGCAGAGTATGTCGCCATACAGTGCTGCTACCCCTTCAGATTGAGAGCTTCCTGCGTATGTTCTGGCTTCGGATCTACACCACCCTGTATCAGCGCAAGTTCAGGCTGAGTTGTACAACGAATTAATGCAAGGAAGTGCACAAACCATACAGGCAAGCGCCTCCGCATTATGGTACTTGTAAAAGTTGTACTACCGCCAGCAATGTTCCCGCTCCAGTGCCTATGGGTTTGTCGCAAGCAAGCGCCTAGGCATTTGGTAATACCGCCAGCAAATGGTCCCCGCTCCAGTACCTATGGGTTTGTCGCAAGCAAGCGCCTCGGCATTTGGTAATACCGCCAGCAATGTTCCCGCTCCAGTACCTATGGGTTTGTCGCAAGCAAGTGCCTCGGCATTTGGTAATACCGCCAGCAATGTTCCCGCGCCAGTGCCTATGGGTTTGTCGCAAGCAAGCGCCTCGGCATTTGGTAATACGGCCAGCAATGTTCCCGCTCCAGTACCTATGCGTCTGTCGCAAGCAAGTGCCTTAGCATTTGGTTATACCGCCAGTAATGTTCCCGCACCAGTACCTATGGTTGTGTCGCAAGCAAGCGCCTCAGCATTTGGTAATACCGCCAGTAATGTTCCCGCTCCAGTACCTATGGTTGTGTCGCAAGCAAGCGCCTCAGCATTTGGTAATACCGCCAGCAATGTCCCCGCACCAGTACCTATGGGTGTGTCGCAAGTAAGCGCCTCAGCATTTGGTAATACCGCCAGCAATGTTCCCGCTCCAGTCAGTACCTATGGTTGTGTCGCAAGCAAGTGCCTCAGCATTTGGTAATACCGCCAGCAATGTTCCCACACCAGTACCTATGGGTGTGTCGCAAGCAAGTGCCTCAGCATTTGGTAATACCGCCAGCAATGTTCCCGCACCAGTACCTAACGGTGTGTCGCACGCAAGTGCCTCAGCATTTTGGTAATAACGCCAGCAATGTTCCCACACCAGTACCTATGGGTGTGTCGCAAGCAAGTGCCTCAGCATTTGGTAATACCGCCAATAATATTCATTCTGATATAGGTACTTGTATCTGTTACTTCCCTCGCTAAGCAAATGAGATCAAGACTACAATGTACGGTATTGATTTTGGTTAACGTAGCCTTTCGCGTTCAAATCTGCTTCAAGGTTTTGACATGGAGCGAACTGAATGCAAACGTTACCAGGCATCACCGCTTGGAGGTGGCACCATCTATGCCCGCGTGGAGGTCAACAGCTCCTTCACCAGGAAGTAACTATCGTCATCCCATCCAAGCGTATCTTCACGGAGTTGTCTCTCCAGCATTGTTCTTAGAGTATGCTCTCCCTTACAAGTACGCGGCATTGTCGATTGAGTCACCAGTCACGTCGTTGCATCACTGTCATCATCCTCAGGGTCTGATATGTCGTCGAGAACAACGTAATGTTCATCATCTGGTGCGAATGTGGTCCTGTCGCTGAGCTTGGCTGTCTCTGGCAACTCTCTATAGGCCTTCAGCTTCCTTGCCTCTTCATGGCTGTACTTCATAATGACATCTGCTCTAGAATCCTAGTAGTCCCTGAGGCCAATCAGGATGACGTCGCCTTGCTTGATCCTGACTCTGTTCCCTGGCTTTCCCTGAATTTGGCAAATCCGCGTTCTACCATCATAGCAGAAAACCTCGAGCTGACAACAGCCAAACAGCTTAGTAAATTCAGCGAAATCTTGGCCATCCTCTCTGAATGCTCAAGATGAAGGATGTTGGTGGACTTAGCCTTGGCATAACCTCTGGGAGCTGTCACCATCTGTACCTGCTTGGAGGGGCGGACGACACCTCGTTGATTTGCATGAGTGTGTCACGTCCGCTCCAAGCGTTTGTTGACGGATTTGTCTCTCTGGCTTTCGACATTGAGAGTGCTCCGGGATCACAGATCCTTTTCGAAACATTTGCTCGCGGGAAATGTCTCTTGCGTACGACGAGTTGACGTGTTCTCTTCTCCTCCTTCAATCTCATCTCGTCCTCCTTTAGTCTCCGAGCAGCCTCCCGCTACTCTTTCTGCAACTGCCACTCACCATTCCTAGTTGGACAACGGCAAACGCTCTGCTCTTTCTTCTATAACCGGCACACGATTCGCAGGCTGAACAAAAGTTGCCAGGCATAACCGCGGGGAGGTGCCACCATCTATGCCCGCTTGGAAGGGCGGAAGACACCTCGTCGATTTGCATGAGTGTGTCACGTCCGCTCCAAGCGTTTGTTGACGGAGTTGTCTCTCCGGGATACGACATTGAGAATGCTTCGGGATCTCAGATCCTTCTCGAAACATTTGCTTGCGGGAAATGTTTCTTACGTATGACGAGTTGACGTTCTCTCTTCTCCTCCTTCATTCTCATTTCGTCCTCCTTTTGTCTCCGAGCAGCCTCCCGGTACTCCTTCTGCAACTGCCACTGAAAATTCCTGGTTGGACAACATCAAATGCTCTGCTAATTTTTCTAAAACCCACACACGATTCGCAGGTTGAACAGATGTGATACTTCTGACGAGGTACGATCGGTATCTCTAAACACGGCCATCACTGAACTGATATATACACACTAAGCTGAATACGACACTGGCTAGTGCTTAGAGAATCCTGAGATAATGATTTGCGACAAGCCCGGTGACCCATCAGTCCCCACCAACTATAGACCTGTATCACTTCTCCCAATAGTGTGATGTAGCCACAGAATGTGTGGCTGGTGTGGGTTTTGTTGACGAAGTTGTCTCTCCGGCATTCGACATTGAGAATGCTTCGGGATCTCAGATCCTTCTTGAAACATTTGTTCGCGGGAAATGTTTCTGGCGTATGACGAGTTGACGTGTTCTCTTCTCCGCCTTCATTCTCATTTCGTCCTCCTTTTGTCTCCGAGCAGCCTCCCGGTACTCCTTCTGCAACTGCCACTGACAATTCGTAGTTGGACAACGTCAAACGCTCTGCTCTTTCTTCTAAAACCGACACACGATTCGCAGGCTGAACAGATGTTATACTTCTGACGAGATACGATCGGTATCTCTAACCACGGCCATCACTGAACTGATATAATCGCATAAGCTGAATACGGCACTGGCTTGTGCTTAGAGAATCCTGAGATAATGATTTGCGATGTTTGCTACGACTGTACTGATAACAACAGAAGCTTGCCTTAATCATGCAAATGCGTTTGTACTCAGCTGATTCTCCAGCACATTATGTGAGCAAAGACGCCCCAGCCTGGGCTAATGTTTGTAAAACTGCATAGGCGGGAGCGCTAGCAATTCAAGATATAATTATATAATATTTATTACACATTTGCATGCCAAATTGGTCACGTATTGTATTGCATTTTATCTTATTATTTTATTTGGGCATTCCCAACAGACCCTAAGGTCTTCTTACAGGGTGCCCAAGATGGATGAATTTGTTATGGTAGCAGCCTGGTCGTAAATTTCATATGGCATTCAATTGACCTTAACTTTGGTGTCTCTCAATGGATTTGAGTGACATTTTTTAACTTTGGTGTCTCTCAATGGATTTGAGTGACATTTTCACCACACTTTCTTGCCACTATGCTGGCCCTCTGAACATGGTTTGAAAAGGTTCTCGCGCCTCACTGACAGGCTTTCCAGGCCAGAAAACCTCACAATTCCGGCAGAGTGCCACGGTGTGCGAGTCACACAGGAGCCAAAAAATACATTTACAATTTTTTCACATTTTCACCAAATACCTGGAAGAGGAAATGCTTGCAATTGGCTTCAATTTTATAATTTTTCCCCTGGGTAGAGTAGTGAAGAATCCTTGCTCACGTTCGTGGCGTTTTCTTGGTTTGTTGCAAAATCAAAAACTTACACCGAGTCTTTCATTGTAATTGGACTGAAATGGCAACAAATGACCGGAACTGCTTGCAATTCACTTGGAATTCGCTTCGATTTTAGAACCTTTTATTTCCTTGGGAGGGTGTCTTTCATGGCCGTCCCACCTGCAAAGTCGGTGAGACGGACCTGAAAAAGAACCAGCTACGTGTACATGTAGAGCTTAACGTGTGCTTCACATTTCTTCTTCGTTCAATCTTGATACAGTTACAAATTTTACATTGTACGGATTTCCTTTGTTCACTAACTGAGTATCTAACTATGTGCATGGATTTTGGTGAACTTAGCCTTTCGCATTCAATTCTGCTTCAGGTTTTTTTGACTTGGAGCGATTTTAATGCGAAAGTTACCAGGCATAACCGCGGGGAGGTGTCACCATCTATGCCCGCTTGGAGGGACGGAGGACACCTCATCGATTTGCATGAGTGTGTCACGTCCGCTCCAAGCGTTTGTTGACGGAGTTGTCTCTCCGGCATTCTACATCGAGAATGCTGCGGGATCTCAGGTCCTTCTCGAAAAATTTGCTCGCGGGAAATGTTTCTTGCGTATGACGGGTTGACGTATTCTCTTCTCCTCCTTCATTCTCGTCTCGTCCTCCTTTTGTCTCCGAGCAGCCTCCCAGTACTTCTTCTGCAACTGCCATTGACAATTCGTAGTTGGACAAGGGCAAACGCTCTGCTCGGTCTTCTCAAACGTGCACACGATACGCAGGCTGAACAGATGTGATACTTCTGACGAGGTACGATTGGTATCTCTAAACTCGGCCATCTTTGAACGGATATAAACGCACTAAGCTGATTACGACAATGGTTTGTGCTTTGAAGGAATCCTGAGATGATGATTTGCGATGCTTACGCGGCAACGACACTGATAACAAGAGGGTTTGCTTGTATATTGCGAGCGCTTTTGTACTCTGCAGATTCTGCAGCTCATAGACTTCGTGGCAAACAGCCGCCCTCCGCTAGGGCCAATGTTCGTATAACTGCCCGGGCGCGCGCACTGTCTATACAATCAGGTGTATCTGCATGCAGAGATCAAATGATCGCGTCGGCCGACGCCATGGCCATCTTCAGTCCAGAGCAATGATATAATTATAAGACTTACGTGCAGCTGTGCGTGGGCCACACCACCATTCGACAGCGCGTGGGTCTAGGCTATAGCTATAGCTACCCCTCCACTGCGACGTCATCGCCTGTTTGTGTTGCGACTATAAGCCAAGTGACATTGCTTGTGCCCCTGCCTCTCTCTATCTCTCTCTCTCTCTCTCTATCTCCCCTCCCCGTCTCCCTCTCCCTCTGCCACTTGTACCCCAGGCGCACACGCCATTTGTACTTCTTTACTATGATAGCTATTATTATTATGCTTGCTCGCGTTGACATCACCACGCCAGCTTGGCTAATCTTCGTATGAGCCAAATTTACAAAAGAAATGAGGAACGAGTGAGCGGGTACGACTGACGTCAGAGTAGAGCCACTTCGATTACGTGTTCACGTCACGTACAAGTACAAGTGTAATGTAGCCACAGAATGTGTGGCTGGTGTGGGTAGCACGAGGTGAGCAGCTGGGTGTGGATGTTGTAGGCAGAAGCCTATGGCTAGCAGTGTGATATTAGCGCAGTGTTTATATCTATCGTGTAATATAAAAGAGAACCAGCTAGCCAAAACAGCATCATTTTACGACGTGCCCGGGCAAAGTCAGTTGCTGGTGGCGCAGAGTTCAGGTTAGAGTCACTCCCGCGTACTAGTAGTACTACATAGTTCTACATTAGCTTTGTGTATAGATAATTTTAATGACTTCAGCCACGGGGCAGTTTACAATGATATAAGACAGGTGAGCTTTGGAGATGTTTCGTTTCTTCTCAACATGTAAACATTTGTGATGCATGGTGCGCATTGGCTCGATAGGATCTATATGTACGTGTACATAACCATTGTTGAGGCG